TGGGGTCCCACCTGCAAAGAGTCAGGAGTCAGGAGCTCCAGGGTGAAGCGCCTGAGTCTCCATTTCTAAAAAGTGATTTAAAGACTGATTCCAATGTCGGTGGCCAGGGCCACCCATTGAACCAGGTGGTCCTGCAGGAGGGAACCCATGCCAGTCATCCGGGTCCTCTAGCTGACCCCACCTAGGACGAATCCATATATTTTAGAGCTGCAAAGGAACCAGTGTATAATCTTTCTTCCTAAACTTCTAGGGTAGGCAGATGTTGCATGTGCCCAAATCTATCACTGGAATTGATTTATTAAAGAAAATTCAGCTGAGTCAAGACAAACAGTCTTTGTGAAAAAAGGAGAAGAATCATCTATCCTCCAGGAGCTCCTAGTCTGGTTGGGGGAGACAGGACCCCAGGAGCACGATACCCTTAAGGACAGATGAAGAGGTACTGGGTCAGAGAGACAGAGGTGATGCCAAGGTGTGAGCAGGGCTTCCATGGTGCAGAGAGATGCTGGGAGGAATGTGTGGCCGAACCAGCCAAAGGTTCACCACTGTGGGCCTCCTCGAACACCTGGGCTCACAGTTGCAAGTGATGTCCCATCCTCCCCTTATGGTTAGGTGTGGCCATGTGACTGAATCCCGGCAGATGACATGTGGGTTTGAGAAACACACCACTTCCGGCCTGGCCTACAAAAATCTCCTCTGTGTTATCCTGAGCCCCCACCTGTCAATTTAACTTCATGTAAAGAGGGAAATAAACTTCTTATACTCAAGGACTGAAAATTGAGGTTGTTTGTTACAACGCTTAGTTTCAGCCAGCATTCAGTCAGCACCAGCCTGCACTGGGCCAAAGGGGATGTGATCCCTGATCTTACAGGGCTGGCGACCTTCAACCTTCAACCTTTGCAGGGCAAAGCAATGCGAGGAAAGGCCAGAGGTGATGAAATCTACAGGGTGTAGAGGTCACATCCATAAATGAAAGGCGCTTGTACAAAGCTTCATTTGGGGGTTCTTCTTGGGCAGTGTAAGCTTTTGACATAGCACATTAAAAACCCTTCAATGGTCTGGCACCCCAAGGAGTCCCGTTTTTATTCTTATTGCTCAAGTTCAGATATAGCTTAATTTGAGTATTCTTTTCTCCCATGCCAGGGTGATCAGGGGCAGGGGCTGTGCCTATGGCTTCGAGATGAGGGTTTCCCCAGCTGGTCCAGGGCTGTCAGGGTTGATTGCTGTTCTCAGAGTACCAGAGACTCCCGGGGAGATGCTGACTGGCCAGGTAAGAAGAGAGTAATGTAGTACCCTGACCTCTAAGAACCCTTCCTATTGGCATCTTCCTTGAAGAAAAAAAAATTCAAGGGTGTCTGTGCAGACCAGAGAAGGCTTGTGGGGAAGGAGGGGCGGGAGTGTGTTCCACATATGCTTAAATATAATATCTAAGCACAAATATGGTCAACCTCTGTTCTCCATAACCACAAAGAAAAACATGTGGAAGTCTCTAGCAAGAGGTAGATTTTTATCTAGAACAATCTTTCCATTTTAGGACAGACATCAAGGAGAACTTTTAAATGATTAGAGTTTTAAGACACCCTCCCGCCCCAGTGTTAAAACACAGGGTCAAGGTCCCCAGACAGGTTGCCTTATGGAATGGAGGGATAGTAACGATCTTTCCTGACCTCACCCAGCCTGCAGTTGCTTGGGTCTTTCCATTTTGGAAAAGGGTCTGAGGGGACAAAGTCTGAAGTCTGTGCTTGTTACACGCCGAGCAGAAGAGCAAGAAGAGAAGAGGAGCACTTGACAAGGAGTTCAGAGAAGGTGTAAGTTTAGGCTCTCCCCCAACCAGATGTGTGTCCTGGTGAACATTTGCATCTTTCTGACCTCAGTTTCTCTCTCTGTCAAGCAGCCTTTATGTATCCTCAGAGCACCTCCTAGATGCTCTGGGTGGGCTCCAAAGTCCTGGAGTCCTAGAACCCTTTGAACACACACACTCCCACATCTTAGATGAAGGTAGGCATGTTCCTGCCTTACTGACAGCATCAGTCTACACTGCCTGAGCCCACAGGAGCCCATTTTGATATGCATGACCCAGGCAAACACAATCCAAGGGAGAAGTGCCTAGAACAGAGTACCCACTCAGCCTCCTGAAACTGCCTACTGTGACTCAATACCAGACCCCGGGCCCCTTCAAACAACGTACGCTGCCCCAGGAAGCTGCCATCTCCTGAGAGGAGAGACCAAGCTGGGGCCCAGGACCTGATTCCCCTTTCTACTGTGCTGTCTCCCCAACCTCCAGGTGCCATGAAGTGGGGAGATCTTCCCAAAGCCTCCCACCTCCTACCAAAGGGGGCTGAAGAGACATCTCAGAGAGTCCTTGGGAACTGGCTAGTGACAACTCCCAGGGAATGGCATGGGAAGGGCAGTGAGGCTTCCCCGTGGCTCTGTTCCAGTCAGGCACAGACCGAGCAGCAGACACAGGTTGTTCTGACAGGGCTATTTATAGAAGCATCTCGGCCTTTCCCGAATGAGGGCCTCAGTCTCTCAGCGACCGGGAAACACATAAGCTCCTTCCCTTGGAGACAGAAAAAAGAAATTCTCTCAGGAGCTCAGACATGATCTTGCACTGGGGAGGAAAGAAGCCCTGTTAGGAATCAGAATTGGGTCGGGATATGGCTGATGGCTTTGAAGCCTTTTCTAGAGCAACTCCAAGAAGGAAGAGGAGATAGAAAACGTGACTGAATGTGAAAAAAGATGAAGAACAGAGATCAAAATGTTTGCAGGCAGCTTCCCCAGCTCCTGGGTTGGCCACACATGCTCCTCTTCCCAGCCTGAGCCTTCTCTAGACAGTGGGCCCAGCTTACCTGGGGCTTCTCACCCAGCCCTGCCTCTCCCTGGAGAGCTGGGTCCAGGCTGGAGGCTACTCTGGTGTTGAGGAAAGCTCCCTGACTGCAGTTCTGAATACTGACAGGGTCTTCTCATACCATACATATATTAGAGTTGGGCAGAGGCCAGGGATAGGAGAGGCCTTGCCCACCTTCCCTTCCTTCTCTGGAGCATTTATCGCTTACTGCGCTTTCTGACATTCAACAAAATGACTTTCTTAGTAGGGATTCCTGCCCCTAGTGAACTTACAGACAAGGGCAAAATGAAATAGGGAGACATGCAGAGGACCCAAGACGTGAGATGATGCAGGACACAAAGTAAAGAAAGAAAGCATTTCTGTAGGTGCCAAACCAAAGATGCATTTCCTGGGGTAAAGGAATGAAGGAAAATTGGGTGGAAGAATGAGGAAAGGAGGTTGTGTGGGCCTCAGGATAAGTCAATCCCCACCCTCAACCCCATCTCAGTGTATTTTTTATGGGGATAGTAATTCTATTTCTTCCAAGAATACCAGAAACAATGACCTTTTTCAATTGCCAAGCAAAAGAAACTCCAGCTTTGCAGGGTCCCTTCCTCACTCAGTTATGCAAAATTCTCAGCCTCTGGGACCAAGGGTTTATAGCATGGCCAGTAGTGAGAAGCAGGCATGGCAGCTGAACCAGGTTTAAAAACAGGAACCATTTCCTTCCCAGGCACAGCAACAAAATGCTCTAGAGCAATCGTTCAAAACTTCAGCTGCATCTGAGAATTACCTGGGAGCCTTTTCAAAAATCCAATGCCCAGATTGGCCCTGAGGCCAATCAGTCTCCCTGGGCTTGCGACCCAGGTATCAGTATTTTCTAAAACTCCCCCCTCTCCATTCCAGTGAGTAGCTAAAATTGATAACCACTGTTTCAAGGGGGAGGAGGTTCACACAGTGAGGCAAGAACCCCAAGACAGGGTGAGACACTTCCCCTCTGCAATGATGCTGTTCTGCATGAGGCCTACCTAGCCAGAGAAGGGAACTCCTGTCCCCTGCACCCAGCCCTTTAGAATAAGTCCTGCTCTTCAGAATCAAGAGGGGGTGCCCTAGAAAACAAGTGCTTGTTCCAGAGGTCTGTTTTACTTGATTCCTTCAAACATAAAATCACAACTTCTTATTTGGTTCACGGGCATCCCTCATCATTGAAAGTATGTTATTGAAAACACTTTTGCCTGTTATCAGAACCCAGCAAATACAAGGCCTGCAGACAGGATAAATTAAGAACAAAGGAAGCCCCAAGTCAGGCCTAAGGTAGTTTTGGTTAATTCTAGTTGGTATAGGACAGATGAATTAATGATGAGCCTGCCACACACCTGTGAAATTTAACAGTTCACTTTTGCCTACAAACAGCCCTTCTAGGTAACCTCTCTAAGGCCTTGCCTTAGGGCCCTCTCATCTAAATAACACAACAAATAAATAAACACAGTTTTGCCAAGATGTGCCACAGATACTGTGGCTCTGTAGCCAACTAGGAGAGCACAGCCAGGGAACCCAGGGCTAGCTGGGTGTCCAGAGGCTGACCCTTGAAGAAACACAAAACTCCACCAGCCCTTCAGGTCACCCAAGCCCACTTAGGAAGTTATAATAATAACATAAGAGCAGCCTAGGAGAGAAGTTTTAGTCTGTTTCTAAAAACACCCTGGACTTCTGCAAAGTTGCTGAACTCAGTTTTAAAATGGTTTCTGGCCACTTGGAATACGGAAGTCTCAACCTATGAAGTGTTTATCCCACAGAGGCACCAAGTACTATCCCCTTTCTATCTAGAGTTTGTAAGCTTGGATTTGGGGGTGGGACAGAACCTTTCAGACACAGGTGAACATGATGCCGCCATTCCATGAGTCAAGCCTGTCCCCTTAGAGAGCCATTTTGAAAAGGTCTAGGGACAGGAAATGCTAAAAGGAGGTCTGATCAGAATTGTGGAGGTCCTCAAAGGGCTCCCCCACAATTGCTAAAGAGAGTTCTGGCGGGCAATTGGTCAAAAGGGTCCCCAGCAGCAGCCCAGCCACTCTTGGGACACATGGCTTGGCCTGTTTGCCAGGAGCAAGTTTCCCCTTCTAGGGCACAGAGGTTGTTTCCTCGGGGCCAAAGGCTCCGTATTCCATCATTAGTTTACCTTTGACAGATGTTTGCTCTGCACACTCCTGAAAAAGGTGGTCTTGGCCGTAAAGAAGCAGTCTTCCAGCTCCTCGTCCAGGCTGCAGTACCCACTGCTCATGCTGCTGTCCACCGTCATCGAGCCCTGGGACCCCCGGCCAGAGGCTGCGAGCGCCTCGGACGGGGCGGGCTTGGGATGCGGCGCGAGGTGGTGACCCCTCCCGGGGCCAGCCCGGCCGAGCGGGCGGGGCCGCCTGCGTTGGTCACTGGGGCCCAGGCGGCGGGGTACCCAGTGGCCGTTCCCGCGCGCCGCCGGTGCCTGCTCAGCGCTGGGGTTGGCCCCGGGCGCCCGCTCGCCCGCCTCGCTCCGGCGGTGCTAGGCATCTGCGGTTTCATCTCCGCTGCGCGGCGCCTGCTGGCTCGCTCGCTCCGCCCGGCGCAGAGCGCCATCTCCACACCCCCCCCGCCTGCCCGCGCCTTTCCTGCCCCGCGCCGAAGCCACTTCCTCTCGAAAGGTTCCTCAAAGCCAAGCTCGGCTGTCATCGCGCCCCTCCCCCCGCCTCCCCACCCACCTGGGTGCCACAGGACCCGGTGGCAAGTGGATCTAGGACACTGAATAGGGATGCATGGAAGCAAGAGGCCAGGATGAACCCGAGGGGAGACAATTCCCTCTGTCCCTTACTTGTCCTGTGCTGCCCTTCCCGCCCCTCACGGTGGCTGGCGTTCACCGAGTAGAAGGTGGTGTAAGGTCTACATCTTCCTCCTCCTTCCCCACCCACCCCTCACTCCATCCCACTCCCAGCCTCCATTGGGGAGTTGGGAGGAGCTGGGTCAATCCGTGGTTAGATGAGTCACTGGAGAAGAAGGTAATCGATATCTGGCCCGTCTATAGAAGCAACAATATTTTAACTTGAAAATGCCAAAAGAAAAATGCAGGGTCTCACATGCATATGCAAATCATATGCAAAGCTATGCAGGGCTGGGCTGAGCTAGCCCACTCTCCCACCACCAGAACTCGGTCCTCAGTCTCAGGATACTGAAGAAGCCTGCAGATGCTGCTCAGGTTGGGTGTGCATTTTTCTGACAGTCAAACCAAGAGGGTTCTTGACCAGATCTTGTCATTGCTAGCATCAAGGATGGCTTATTTCTATTTCCCCAGGAACTGGATGGACCACATGGAGGAACACTTTCCTTCTGTAGGATTCAACTGCTCAAAGCAATTAGGGCAACGTCCCTATAATTTCTCAGACTAGATTTGTACAATAGCAGTTGTAGCTCCCATTGTTTGAACAATTACTGTATGTCCAGATGATTTACATGCAGTCTGTCACTTAATGTTCCCAATAACTGTTAGATAGAGACTATTATTTCATATTTTTATGGATGAGGAAACCAGGGCTGAGAGTCATACAAGTAGGACCTGTGTGCTAGGATCAGACTCAGATCTATGTAACTCCAGGGCCTCTGTGTTCTTGGTCTCTGTGATAACGGAGAGTTATCCGTCAGTAGAGATGAGACTATTGGTGGGCCCTCTTCCATCTTTAAACACAGTGGGGCCTGAAGTCTCAAGAAGAGAGAAAACACTGCCTTCTAAGGCCAGGGTTGCTATGGAGTCCAAAGGTCTGTGGACCCCAGAAGTGGCCTGGAAAGTGGTTGGGAAAGGGGACAGTCAGGACTGTCTCCAAGTCTGTGTGGCTTTTCCTGAAGTTTTGAAATAAATCAGTGCTGGGGAAGCACAAGCTGGCAGAGGGTTAGCCTCAGCCCCCAGACACCAAGCTGCTGACTCCATATTCATCTCTGGTTACTTTTCTGAGGAGTCCTTCCCTCCCCTACCTTTGCCAAATCTGTCAGTGCTGAGGAGGGTTTCAAAATGCAACCCAGTTTGGCTCCTTCCTCCCACACAGCCTCTTTGACAGAAGCCTGCGTGTGCTGAGATAGCTGAAAGCCAGCACCCCTGGGCCTGCCACCCTTGGCTCAGGAGAATGTCAATGCCAGTAGCTACCTCCTCTGGAGGGAAGATAAGAGGTGGCAGACAGCTGGGGCAGGACTGGGGTGGGTGGGCAGTGTGCTATGCAGAGTCTAAGAGGGTTGATCTCACATGAATGGGGTTGAAGATAGGTTCTGTCTCTGTCTGGGTGATCTGTTCTTCAAACAGGTATTTTAAAGAGTATTTGGGGGTTTTCCCCAGGGACCATGGCTCAGGCCTCAAGCAGAGGAAACTGGTGTCTGTTTCCAAGTTCAGGGGCAGAATGCTGAATGCTACAGAGAGGGGGGCTCAGGGCCACCATAGCAGCCCCCTGCTTTGTCCAGCAAGCAAAGAAACAGACTCTTCTTATAAAAAGAGCCTCCTTGCTCAGTGGGAATTCAACACTTAAGGGAAAAAACAAGCCCCAGATTCTTTATGGCCACAGTGTCCTCAGAGTCACCTGGGGAGCTCTGCAATGCCACCACAGTGCTACACATTCAAAATGTACAATCTTAAAATGCTGCGAATAACAACCTTTTCAAACACCAAGCCAGAGTCCCCCAGGAGCCAGCTCCTTGTGAGCAGCACAAGCAGCACACTGATGCCAGCCAGACCTGGCAAGGAAGGTTCTCAGGGACACTGTGTTCTTGTAGGGAGCTGCCCCACGCCAATCCAAACATCGTGAAAACCTGACATCCCAATAGGGCCTTTTAACCCCATTGCTTCACTTAGGATATTCTAACCCAACAGCAGGAATTATGGCCATTTTTACAGGTGAAGAAACTAAGGGACATAACCAGTTCCATTACAGCTCATTACTTCCAAAGCCTCTTCGTGACTCCTACTTAATGTCTCTTTCCCTAATGCCACCTCATCTGTCAATGAATCACCTGTGCATAAGTGCTGGCAGGGACCCTAGGCCTAGAAAAAATCTGAAAAGATCATATACAATATAACAAGTTGGCCAGTCCACAGCAGAAAAATCCAGACTGACGCCCTAGGGTCTCAAAGGAAGGAAGACTGGACTGGAATGTCTAGTGACACTGTCAGAATCTCCCCCCTATGAATAATCAACAGTAGGAACATCGATTGGCCTAAGTAAGAGGGACAGGCAGGGACAAGCCTGAGAGGTAGCCTTTTAAGCCTCTTTGAGGTGATCCACAAAGCATGGGAAGAAGCTGTTCTTGTCTGTGGGCCCAGGAGGAGACAGCAGGCCCTAAAACACAGCATGCAGAGCCCAAAGCCCACAGAACTCTGCTGGAGTTCAGAGAGTCCTGGGGAAATGATGAATGGGCCACTTTCCTGACTCAAAGTGTCAGATGATGAAAGATATTATTTTAAGCTTTCTTCCTTTCTCACATGCAATCCTGATAGGTGGCCAGATCCCCTTGTGAGATCCACCCTGTGGTTCTGCATGTTCCAGAGAGGCTGCAGTGTAAGAATGGAAGTCGGGAAGCCCAGCCTCAACTCTACTTGATGTAGCCTCCTAAGAAACTGTGGACCTCAGGCTTCTTCACCGGTCCAATTGAAGGGTCACGTGAAGATCAGACATGAGGCCTTAAACCTACTAATGTATGCCGGGACTGAAACCAGGGTGAGGTGTTCCCCCCACAAAACTCCCTAAATTTATTTTGAAATTTTTATTAGCTTATGTGCTATTAATTTGATGCACATCACTTAATTTAATCCTTACAATAAACTTATGAGGAAGCCACAGTTATTTTCTCTATTTTACAGACAGGAAAAGGAGGATCAGGAAAGTTAAATAACTTGCAAATAGATACACAGGCTGTCAATGGTGGCGTTGAATCAACCCAGCTGGGTCTCACTCCAGCTACAAGTCCTTAAACTCAACATTTCTGTGGTCTCATGGGATTAGCGCTGGGATGACTCCCATCACGGGTCCAAAATTGAGCTCGCTGCCCACCTGCTCATTCTCTGCCCTTTAGTATTTCCTGTCTTGATGATTGTCATTAACCTAGATTACTGCAAAACCTTGCAGGAGTTCCCCTTGTTTGCATCTCTGCCTCCTCCAAACTCCCCACCCCCTTGTTGCCAAAGTTATCCTTCTAAGACCAAGTTCAGATCATTGTGCCTCCCTATCATAAAATCTGTTCATAAAATCTGTTCAACTCCTAATGATCTTATAATTAACATGTATTCAGTCTAGTTACTTGTGTTTTCATTCATTCATTGAACAAATACTGAGCACCTTCTACATGGCAAACATACTGGATGTTCAAGTTTGGACCTGGGTGAGATCTAGTCCCTGTCTTCTCAAAGTATACACTCTAGAGAGAGTGACATTAAATGTTAGTTATTTTAAAGTTATTACTGAGCTTTTATAGGTTTCATTATAGGACTTAATCCTTATAACCTTCCCAAGAAGATATTTTGCAAATGGGTAAAGAGCCTCAGAGTGGTTAATTTGCCCAACAAAATAAATGGTAGAATCAGATTTCAAACCCAGAGCCCCTGTATATAACTTTCAATTACAACTGTTGTCTTTCCTCCAATGACCGCACGATATTCCAAACCCCTGAGCAGGCCCTCCCAGGCCCTTTCCAGTGTGTGTCCAGCCAAAAGTTCAGACTCATCTAAAGCCACAATCAAGTGGCCCTCATTACAGTCACACAAAATTGATTCACATTGCCAGAAGCCACTCCGCCCCCTTGTGGTTTTGCTGTTCCTATTTTCTCTGCCTGTCAAAATCCTCCTCCTACCTCTGTCCCCTTCCTGACACTATTCCCCCATAAGGACCATACCTCCCACACCTTCCACATGACTCTCAGGAGGAGAGTTCTATCTAGGCTGAATCTTAAAAATGCTACCAACCAGGGCTGAGGTTGTAGCTCAGTGGTAGAGTGCTTGCTTAGCATGCATGAGGCCCTGGGTTTGATCCTCAGCACCACATAAAAATAAATAAAATAAAGGTCCATTAACAACTTAAAAAAAATTTTTAAAAAGAATGCTACCAACCATTCCTAGAGTGGCATTATTTTTTAGCATGAATTTGCTGGGTATAGCAGAGAGTTCAGTTTCTCCCCAGATGACTTCCTGTCCTAAGAGGAAAGTGGCTGCCCACCATTTAGGTTAGAGTCGCATGGGATTTACTTTGTCTGGGGTTCCAGCCCACACCTACCTCTCTTGCTTGGCTGCCAGCTCACACAGGGCCCTAATGCATAAAAACACTGAAGGTGGTTAAATTACTCTGGTCATTCACACCAACAAGCTAAGGCCCTGAAGAACTCATGTTAGGAGTCAAGTCAGGCCCAGGGATTCTATCTTCTAACTGTTCTTCAGTGAGA